GGGAGCAGATGAGCTTCCCCAAGGCTGCAAGAGGATGGGAACGGAGCGGAGAAGGGATTTGCACGTTGGAGAGCGCAGGTGTGCCACGAGGGGCAGGCGATGCGCCAGAGACCCTGCAGATGATCACGTGGAAGAGGATGCCACGGGAAGGACCTCCGTGCCGGGGACCCACCTGCGTCCCGCTGGACGCCGCCTCCCGCATCTTCATGATGGCTGTGATCTCATCCTGCTGCTTTTTCATCTCTTGGTCATTGACCTGCCAAGAGAGTGATCAAGGCTGGGAGATAAATCCCTGCTTGCATCCCAGACTTGGGACCACAAGCGGCGACGAGAAGACTCCTAAATTTCATTGCAGAAGCAGAGGCTGGTCCCCACGGCGCTTCTGCCCACCAGCCTCCAGGCTCAGGATCTCTCCAGAGTTTGCCAGACAACGTCCCCCACCCCGCACTTGTCTCCGAAGAGACTGCTGCAGAAGGAGTGCATCCAGTTTCTTCCTCTCGTGGCCTCCTCCTGAGCCCAGGCTGTCCCCTGGAAAATCACCCTCCTCACAGCGAGCCAGGAGCTGGTGTGAATATTCATGTTGCCCTGGTTCAGAGCTGGCCAGGTGCCGTCAGAGCCAGGCCTCCTACAGCATCCCTCTAGGGAGCTGACAGCATGTAGCAGGGCTGGGGGAAGGCAGCCAACCTACGTTAAAGATCTTCACGTAGTGGTTGATGAGGTCCTCCACCACGCGGCCCGCCTTGTAGTCCTTCCCATCCGTCTGGAAGAGAGTGGGCCCGAAGACGATGGCCAGGTTGTGCGTGTTCATCTGGTTGTCTCCGGAGAAGCGCTGGACCCTACGGGGACCCAAACGGGACCCTGTCATGGTTCGGAGCCCGCTCCTGCCCCAGGATCTCCCTCCAGCCTCGCCAATGGGTTCCTCCCCGGGCCGGGATGATGCTCAGCTTTGGGGCCCCCCCAGCCGACCCAAAATACCCCCCCCCACCCTCGCCAATGGGTTCCTCCCCGGGCCGGGATGATGCTCAGCTTTGGGGCCCCCCCAGCCGACCCAAAATCCCCATCCTTCCCTTGCTTGGTGCAGACACAGCGGGAAGGGGGCTTTCCTTTCCCCTCTCAGCCTGCCCAGGTCCCCTGGCACCCACGAGGGCAG